AACTGCTGTTTTGTTGAACTGATTCCCATAGGATGCTTCCCCAATCACTACAATCTTAACCTGTTTAAGTCTAGGGTTAACCGTTTATCTTCCCCACATATTCCCATAAACTTTGTCTCTTACTCTGTACCTCTCTATTTTGAGTGGATTTTGGGCCTTGAACAGAGTGAACATTATTGTAAAAAATACATCCACATTACATGGCCAGCTGTGCTTTTTGTAGCAGTGTTTCAGTGCTGACGCTCTTCATATGTATATTTTTGTTTTCTTTAATTTTATTATATTCTTTGATATTAAAAGTAAATGTAATTACACTACTTTCTTTGAAAAAGGTCGTCTTTTTTATTTGCTGATTTACAGTCACAGGTGTCTTCCAGAAATTGATGTTCCTAAATGGTCGCCCATCTAAGTACAGATGAGGAACATCAGAAAACTTAGATATTTTCCTCTGAGCTACACTCTGTTCTTTTTCTGTTTTTATATTATTTACTAGTTTACACATACAAAAAACTGAAGACATTTTATTATTATTAGATTTTGACATTTGAGGGGTTTTTTTAGGAAATTTTTCCAACACCCTTAAGCTTAATAAGATCACCCCATTTATCAACTTTTTGACCCATTAAGTGATTTTTTGACCCACACTTTTATTATGACCCCTGTTTATTGCATAGAGAAAAAAAATTCTAAACCCCACCTCTTATATAAGATTATTTTTCTAATTACTGTTATCATACTCTGTTCTTTCAGTATTTCTAGTTACTAACTTCTTAATAAATACACTGCCACCCGACGTCACCAGCACAAGGGTGATAAATTTAGAAAGATTATAATTTAGAGCCATTACAGGCAAAATATATACAAATACATTTGATATACAATATAGTAAGATGAATATATCAGTTTGAGTAATTTTCGTGGACATTTGTTACACTTGACTGTCATAAGGAATTTATTTCTGTGACAGTAAATGCTAAGGTAAATGTCTTGGAAACATTTCAAAAGAGATCAGCATTCTTTTGGATGTTACTGTGCAAATGGAATAAAACCCCACATGAGTCAGAACATTATTAACCAAGCAATTCCCTTTACACCTGTGCTTCTGATATTTACTTAGCAAATTTATCTCTTTTGCTGAAGTTCAATAGATGACTACCCCATCAAAATAATTAACTATCAAACTCACTTGAGCTTTTCTTCTAAGATTCGTACAGCCTCTGGTTAACAGGCAGTATATTTCCACCATGTTTGCTAAGAATCATTTCTGTTCTTATATAGACTCAGCTATTTGTGAATTCACAAGCACATACATGAAGTGACTGTTTCAAAGAGAAGTGTCAATGATTTAACAAAGCTCAAGATATCTAATATGACTTTTTAAACATAAATTATCCATTAAAAAATTGAAACACTAAAGTCAAAAACTGTTCAGTCATCACTTCTCTTTGTCTTTTTGGTCCTTATTCTACAAACCATTCACACAAACTTGTCAAATAAGTTAGTTTTAACTTAGAATTTGAACTTTCACTTATTCTCCTTTCTCTTCCAATAACCAATATCGTATATTTCATCTCTGAAAGGTGAGAGGATAGAGCAAAGGGAGAAGTGGTTTCATGACTTTCCCAAGTGCATTAATGCAAATAGTCAGTAAATAATCTCAGCCACAATTTGATTTTAGTAAAGAGATTCTGCTTTTTTTTGTACTGATAACCATGAATTATGAGAGAATAAAGTACAAGAAGTGGGTTCATGCCTTTTTCTAAAGGCATTAATGCAACGTGGACATAAGCAGCCTCAATCAGAATTTGGATTCAGTTCACACATTGTGCTTTCTGTGCTGATGAACATTATGTTGTTTCATTACTAAATGATGAGAAGTTAGTACACAGGGTGAAATGGATTCATGCCTTTCCTAAAAGCATTAATGTTAAGTGAATATAAACAGTCTCAGCTGAAATTTGTATCTGGTTCAACAATTTGATTTATTTTGAGAAGTATCATTTGCATTCAGACATACTGACTTTTTTCACTTAGCAAAGTAGTTTGTGTAGTCACACCAACATAACAAATTTAGTCCAATTTCTAAAGGACAAAATGTGTCACATGAAAACTTTTTTCACTTTGTCATACATATTTTCCCATATATATATATATATATATAAATATATAATGTATTTTCTGACATGTTATTGGCTGAATTTTAATCAGAAGTTTTCACACTCAAATGTTCAATCTGTAAAATATGATTAAGGAAAAAAGTGATGGGTTTAGGTGCCTTGACAAATAAGAATACTATGTAGAAAAATAAATAACTTTTGGTTCTAAGTTGAGGGCATGAAGATTCTAATCTCAGATTTTGTAGATTTATTTCTCTTTGCTTTTATGGCTTATCTTAAGCATCTTGCATTAAACTGTTGTCCAGCTTAATGCCCTAATTATATATAGCTGGATCTAAATGCCTGAGGTTTATTAGTTCTAATCCTTATTGCTTAGAAGAGAAAGGTCAAGCCTGCTCACTAATTATGAACCATAGACTGTGAGAACAGTGAAATTCTATCTTTCATCTTTTTGGAGTCCTCTCTTGCAAGAATTAAGAGTCATAAAGTCAGCAAACAAAATAAGAAACCTTTTTATATTTATTTTTCATTAGTCCTCCTTCTCTTTTGTATCTAGAGAGGATTAACCTATTATCATTTGATACTTGCCTTTATTTGTTGATATCTGGTTTGTAAGTCATTGAATATGTGTATTCAACTAACCATTCACTTATCCAATTATAAAAGCTGCTGCTAAGGTCAAAGGTAAAAAAAAAAATCAAGATTTGCTACCAGTTCCAACAGTTACTCTGTTAAACAGGCAAACCAACATTGTCATATTATTATATGTGAATGTATCTGGACCCTCCTATCATTTTTGGAATATGAGGGTACAGCAACTCAGTTCTTACTATAGACACTTATGATTTGAGTATAGTGGTGAAGGCTTATATTGGAGAAGCTGAATACAGAGAGCTGGTGCACATAATGTGCTACAAAACCCCAAATGATCCTCCTCAGATTTTTAATTCAGATTTGCCCTTCTCTTAGACTGATATCAACCAAGGCTATAGGACCCAATCTGTCTTACTAATTAACCCATAGCTGGGGGGAGAAGAGTTGGGTTCATAAATTTCCCAAGGGTATTTGCACATAAGAGTATGTAAATGGAATTTGAATTACTCCACCATGACACCGTGTGAATGTATATTTTTTCTTTCGTTTTTTTTTTTTTTTTTTTAATTACTTTTAATCTACAAAGACACAAAGGGTTGCTGAGAATGAAAGAAAATGAGAAAACTTTAGGAGAAGGAATCAGAAACCCCATCCTAAAAACAAAGGAAGGTATATATCTAAATATATGTGCCTAAACAAGGGATAAACTTGTAGACCTGTTTAAAAGACAGGGAAGGTACATATATAAATATATAAGTGTCTACATTTCAAATCCCTTTACCTGTGTACACTGGGTTGTTTGAAAAATAATGGCTAAATTGAAATGATAACAGTAATGATACCATAATCACCCATGTCCAGAAGGGATATCACATATAGAAGAAGAAGAATGGTGAAATTGACATTTCCTTATAAGGAAACATTTGGCATTCATTGATCAAACAGGCAGCATTACTCTTTTTTATTTTTTGTTTTTAATCAGTTTCACCCCAAGCAATGCAGTAAAGCCACTGAGACACAATGGGTTACTGGGTGTGGAAGAGTTAGAAACAGAAACATTGCTCAGGTGCAAAAACAAAAGAAGAGTAACAGTAGATAGTGATTGACATTGCATTTAAATTTTTGCAGATTAAAGTTGGCATGGAAATCATGGAGCAGAAAAGGAGTTCCACAAGTGAGTAGTGTGAGAAAAGAAACTGTTAGTATAGAACATACAGTTACTTCTAGCCAATTCAACTGTAAATTGATGAGACCTTGTTGCCAGTCTAGTATTGTGCTTAAATTCAAAGAGTCTAGGCACCATAGTGAAAACTTATCCAAACAATTACCATGAAAGTATTTATAGAAAAGGCAGAGGGGGGGAGCAACCGTATGGTAGTGGCAAAGATACCAAAGCCAATGCCAGAGCAGGGCAAATATTACTGTTGTTGGATAAAATTTATAAAATCTTTCTCTTAAAACAGTTTTTCAGGAAAATAAACTTCTCAAGTCCACTGTTATCACACTTTCTAATATTGATGAGAGTTTCCTTCCTTACCTTTTGTTTAATGTAGTGTGGAAAGTCAACATTTTCATTATATCGTTATTTTCTTTTTTAGTTACATGTGCTATACATAGTTGTTGCTGCTGATGAAACTCTTCAAGTAATGTGTGTTTTGTTATTTGGTAAAGTTCTTTGTGAGTTTGTAACACCAATCTGCTCAAATGAAGGATTGTCTTCTTTAAGACTAAAATGATTTATTCACTCAAAGCTATTTTTAATCATTGATCTTAAAAATAATAGATAACAGTTTAGACATTTCTGAGTGAGTTGGATGCCATGTATGACACATTAACATGAATAATTAGCATTTTTTTCTAATATAATCAATTAGAATATGAAGGATTTACATCAATAACTTTTTGCCAATGAGAAGTAAAGTCATTTAGACATTATCATAGAATCATAAGATCCTAGACTGCAAAATATCCTTGAATTCTGTTTCTGTATTTTCATTTCTAGTAAACATTTTTATTTTGATAAGTTATCCAAATGTTTTAAAAACAAATGTTCAGCAGTGAGTTAAAGACTTGAATTGATTAATTAGATTGTAAGAATGTTTTTAAGATAATAATAATTTATTGAAACAAGTCCTACTAATTAATCCATAAAGCAGAACATGTGGATTCATACATTTCTCAAGGCTATTTGCACATAAATGAATAAAATGAACCCAACTGGAATTGAACTTTGACTTTCCAATTTCTAATTCCAATCTGTTATCCATTAAACCACATACACATTCATACTTACAGCACCTGGTATTCTCAAGTGGTCACCCATCAAGATACTGACCATGCTCAATGTTGTTTAACATCAGTGATCATAAGAGAACTGTTATTTCAACGTGATATAGCCATCAGCCTGCAGGCCAGCAGAATAGAGAGGACAAAGCAAAGCTTCAGAAGCCAACATAATGAATTTATATAGTTTTATTTGTGCAATGTGTGTCCAAGCATTATTATTGAATAAAAATGATCTTCTTCAACTGACCAATGCAGGTTTCCTTTCACACAATTTTCTTTGAACCACTTCCAATTTTTCTTGTACTATTTCCTGTCTCCCTTCAGGACATGAGTGATTGTAACTCTCTAAAATTTCCTATCCTTTGTAGCTCTTAGTATGGTTTGTCTTTTCCTCGGTCATCTCACTCCTTGTTCTGCCAATCATTCACACAAGTTTGTTAGGTAGATTACCCACTGTTTCTCCTCTGTCCCTCTTGGTTGGTTTGTTGATTGGTTTGTTTAATAGCACAACAACTCCTTATGGGTCATTTAATGCCAAAATTTAATTTTCTTCTGAGCTTTGGTAATTTTTTTTTTTTTTTTTTACTATTAAAATCACATTTTTATTATAAAAATATATTTTTTATACTTTCATAGTATTTTGGTCCCAGTTTTAGGGTTAACTATTTGCCCATAACTGGGACCTAAAAGATGCTACCACAGGTCAGGATGGATCTGAGAACAACAGCAATTAAGAGGTAGTTTGGCGCACATGAAAACCTCCCGATCAGAGGCCTTGCTACCCAAAGTAGTTTATTGTCATACCCAGGATGGCTGTCCCTCTTGTTTTTAATATATCCTTTTCATGTCAGATTCTCCAAACTCATTATGTACCCTATAAATTTCAACTCTCTTTATGATTCTGAGCATAAGCATCCTTTTTATTTCCATTTTTCTTAAACCTTTGTTTTTACTCACATGTTAAATCCATGGTATTCTCAGCATCCTTTTGCAGTAACTCATTTCTGTTGTTTCAAGTCTCTTCACCTGTGAAGAGATTGTCCAACATTCATTGCCATATAGGAGGACTGATATTACGTAACAGTTTAGCACCTTCTCTTTGTTTCTGACAAAATTTTTATGTTTCTTAATACTTTGCTTAGCTTTTGGAAGGCATCTTTTGCTATTCCAATGAGCTTTCATATTTCAGTGTCACATTTTTCAGCCTCTGTTGAAACTCTTCCCAGATAATTAACAGTAAACATTAACAGTGGCTCTTCCTTCCTTGCTGAAGAAAACTTCATTGGATCATACAGTGGACATAACAATGTTTTGACTGGCTATCCTCAGATGATGACCAGAGGATACTTGGCTGAAACATCTTACATGTAATAAAATCTATAATGATTAAGATTGAACAATAGTTCATATAATTCAAATCAGTCCAATTATAGTGATAATTATTTATCTCTTAAATCAAAAACAGGATTGAAATATTTTGTTTTACCATCTTCCAAGAGAGAAGAGGCTGTTTGCTACCTTGAAAATCAGCATTCAATATGCTGACTTTCAACTTGGGCTTGGAATAGTGATACCTGGCCCTGAGAGGAAATGTGTGCATTTTTTGCTATTTTACCTACCACAGGAGGAATTTTTTTATTTAGTTATGCGCAAAAGTATCCAGCAATCTTTATTTTTAAAAATGTTTTCAACTGCATATTTAGTCAATGGTTTTGAAAAAAGGAGTTGGAAATCTTTGTACATACTGAATATTTGCCTGTATGTATATATAACTTGGTATAAATTCATATTTTGAGTATTAGCTTGCTAACCAAAAGGTTTTATTTAATAAGATGAAATTTTTTTTTGTTATTTTATTTTTCATATAAATCAAAGTCCTATTAAAACCTTGGATTTTGTAATTATTTTTATAATTTTTTAGACGTTTTATGATATTTTCAGATTTTCTACAAAAAAAACAAAATGGGTTTCTTGGTAAAGAAACTCATCTGATATAACCGATTTCAAATTTGGGAATGTATTTCATCTGCAACTTGTTCTTAATTTCAAATGGTCTCTTTTCATGGGATAATATCAAAACTTTCTTTTCAGTGAAATCAATTTGATTCCTTTTCCCTTTCAAAAGCATTTGATTTGTTAAAGCAGCTAACCATTTAGAATATTGGAATTCAAACTGTCGTTCTGCAAGTTTGGTTAATTTTATTGATTTTATGAGAAGGTTTATTCTGAGGGGCAAATAAGATTTGATAATTGCCTTCCTTTTGATCTAAAGCTTTTACTTATATCCATGTAAATGCAAATGTTAATATATTTATTACACAGATTACACATGTGTAGACATATTTATGTGAACATACATTTCCAAATAATTGCTAAATGGAATAAAACAGATAAACTTTACATACTTTATATATAAAATAATTATATATATATATATAAAATGTGTGTGTATGTATATATACATATCAAAATAAAAGTGTATATATATATATATATATATATATATATATATATATGTATTTATGTATGTATATATATATACATATCAAAACAAAATATATATATATATATATATATATATATATATATATATATATATATATATATATATAATTTATAGAAATAGATATATAAAATAGTAAATATTCTCATGTTTGTGTGTAGAGAGAGAACATTTTACATAATATATACTTACTATCATAAATCCATAAAATAGATAAACTTACACACACACACACACACATATATATATATATATATATATATATATATATATATATATATATATATATATATTAGTAAATATTCTTGGGTATACATGTGTTTGTGCATGAGTACACTGAGAGAACATATTTGCATAAATATATTCTATAAAATATAGAAAACATAAACTGACACACAGACGTATATACATACACACACACACACACACACACACATATATATATTTGTAGGTATTTGTGGACACAAAGGGTGAGAACATTTTTACATAAATATATTCCTACTATCATAAATACATCTTTGTGTGTGTGTGTGTGTGCATTTGTTCATATATATATATAAAGAATTTTATCAGTGTGTTTATTGAAATATTTTGTGTTAACTAAATTGTCAACAAAATTAAGCAAATCAAAATAACACTGACATCTCATTTTAACAAATATATTTACCAAAATTACACAAAAATATCTTGAAATACTAAACAGTATATTTATTCAATAAAATTGCCATTGGCTTCAATCATGACCTTTTCCTGCAACTCTTCTGGATGGTCTCCTTGTTTAAGTTGGTGAATGTTGCCATAATTCTTGCCCTCAGTTCATCTTTGGTTTTACAAGGAGTTTTGTTGGTCTCTCGTTCAACTGTGTCCTACACGTAATAATCAAGGTGGTTGCAGTCTGGGGAATTAGGTGGCCTGATGTAAGGGATAATGTGGTTGCAGAAATTGTCTGACTGCCATGACTGGGTTCTCCTGGTTGCGTGGCATGATGCAGAGTTGTATTGCCAGACATAGGGTTTTCCAGCAGCCACCCTCTTGACCCAGGACAGCACTACCTCCTCAAGGCACTTGGTTTAGGCCTCCATGTTGAGTCTAAGGCCCCCATGAGATGACAAATGGAGGCATAATATCACCATCGCTAGTGATCAATCCAAACACCTTCGCAAACATCATTAGGCTCATCCAACTCTTTCCAAATCCTCAGATTGACCCCCAAACACTCTGAAATGTTTATATTGGAGTTTCTAGTGGAAATTCCATGCAGTACAGCATTCCATCATGGTGTTTTTTTGTTTTTTCTTCTCAGTCGGTGCCCAACTACCCTACTATACTGTGCAGTTAACAAAATAAAACAAAGAACATGAAAGTGCAAAATTAAAAATATAAGATGGTGACAATTTACCCATCGCACTCTATATATATATATATATATATATATATATATATATATATATATATAGATGATACAATGGGAAAATAACTTGGCATATGTGTGTGTGTGTATATATATATATATATATATATATATATATGATACAATGGGAAAATAACTTGGCATATATATATATATATATATATATATATATATCAATAGATAGATATATAGATAGATAGATGATACAATGGGAAAATAACTTGGCATATATATATATATATATATATATATATATATACTTCCTTATTGGAACACTCACACAAACATACATGTGTAAAGAGAGTAAAGAGACAAATAAAAAAAATCATGAATCTTTCTTGCTATTGACAGATACCTTGCTTATTTTCAAATTGGTAAAACTGAAATATATCACATCTAGAAGCTACAAACAGAACCCCCCCCCCAACCCAATCTATTTTTTTTGTTTCTTTCATCCTTCCCCATTACAAGTTGTAAAATTTTTGATTTGGTTGGTTTGAAGACCATAATCTTTGATCTCCACCCACAAAAAATATTTATTTGACTTTCATTTATGAACAACAAACTTGAAAAGCCAACTTTAACATTAATTAGTGTCTTCAGGCCAATATTCTATTCTGGGTCTTATGTTTGTGTCTCCTCCTACCTTTCAAATCTCAGGATTGGGTTGGTGTGCAGATTGACGAACTGATAGCTTCAGGCCATTTCCATCCCATCATTTTCTCTAACTTAAACACTTATGTACTTTTAATGGTGGACACTCTTTGAAAAAATAACATAAAAAATCTGCTTAAGAAGTAAAAATTGAACAAGCAGTAACTTTATTTTATTCATTGTGAAAAGAAAATATTAGTGATAGTAATAAAATACTGTAAACTATTGAATTATTAGAAGAACAGTGGACAAAGTCACCATATATATGGCATGAACCTTGGTATTTATCTGAATTTTTCAGATCAAAAGGATCATATTAAACAAAGATCTGAACTGAATCATGTCCTTATCCTGGCTGCTATAGTTACAATAATTCTGAAATGCATCTTTCACTATTCCTATGCACCTTTATATTTCTGTGTAACATTTTCTCCACACTGTTACTATACCATTCAGCTAGTTAAATTTTCTCACCTGTTTGATCCTGACATCCCTTGTATGTAACTCACATTTTAGGCTGTCTCTTTTGCTGGCAACCATGCATTCT